CCCGTGTCTGGCGAATATAGATTTCATGTAAGTAACCAAAGTGCTGCTCTTAATATCTGGCAACTTCGCAATCTCAAAATAACGTGAAAAATAGTCCAACTAATAGATAGTTTGAATTGTTCCAGTAGAACAAATCAGTGGCGACAGTATCCCATGGAATCGTGGGAGTTGGTTGAACTATCATGGGCTCTTTCTGGTTTGATGGTCGATATTCTAGACCGGTAGGACATTTCAAGACCATTTCTTCTATCTGTGAATTCATCCCTGGCCAATACAGAACATCCTGTGCACGTTTCTTGCATTTTTCGGTTCCCATGTGTCCAGCATGAATCTTTTCCAACATTTCTGGTCGAAAGGAACTTGGGATGATGATCTTTTCATTCTTCAAAAGAATTCCATCAATCTCTGAGATTTCCTCTCTACAATGCCAATACTCATTAATTTTGACTGGTGTTTCTCGTTTTGTATCTGGCCACCCGCTCAAAACGGTCTTCTTAAGCTGCCGTAGTGATCCATCTTCTTCTGTGGCCATCCTGAGTCTCGCCATCATGTCATCGGTCGCAGGAAGATTGGACATCACCATGTGAACACAGCAAGATATTTCTTTCTCTAACTCTGAATCATCCCACTCCTGACACCATGTTATGTTTGTACATCCGTATGTATAACATTTATTAGACTAACACTAATGTGAGCACAGCAACTCTTATATAGCTAAGTTTATACATAAATTAACATATTAAACAATAATACAACACCATCGATTGATTTCAGGGTGGTGTGAACAATGTGGGCCGCACAACATTGTTCAATCCTGTTAAACTGCTGGCTCATAATTTTTACGTGTGTAACCAATTAAGCTACAGTACATAAGCCAGTTGCTGAGCATGCACAAGAATTCATGTATGCAACATATAATGAATGTGCATTTTGGGCATTTTATTTTATTTGGTAGAACTACCGTAAGCTTGATACAGTTTGTAAGCCTATGAAATTCATCAGTGTAGCAAGTCATTTATCTTGTCTTCAGGTACTTCATGGTGAACAGTATTTGGAGTTGTATCGACCATTACAACCAAATGCAACCCTGAAGAGTAACATTGTTGTTGCTGATGTTTTGGACAAGAAATCAGGCGCTCTTATCATCGTTAATATTACCACTTCTGATGAAAAGGGTAATTAATCCGTAATTTATGCTGTGCTTATTTATTAGCCAGTCCTATATTATCTGTGACTTTATCTTACTTATCTTACTTATCAATATGTACCACACACTGTATCTTACTTTACTTTACTTTACCATTACTAGTTTTTTAACTACAGTATGCTCACCTTACTACATCATATGCATTCCAATTTTACTGCCATACACCATGCAATATACTGTAGCATGCAATACCATACCATATTATACTACATACCACACCATTTTGAACCACCATATGCAATACCATACCTCTGCCCTTATTATGCCTTACCATGTACCAAAGTATTTATGGTGCTTTACCTAATTGCCATAGTGTAGCATGGCACGTCATACCATACCATTCAGTGTTTTACTGTACCATTCCATTGCCATACAATACTGTATTACATCATACCTTATCATAACATAAAATACAGATGAATTAAGGCGTTGTATGAACGTGGTACAAACGTTGAATAAGGTGTGGTATGACGTGATATGGTATGGTATGATATGATGTGGTGGTTAACTGGCTTTTGTTGGTAGAGATGCAACTACCTCCTAAAAAATATAAACTAAGAGAATTTTGACGTTTTGAGCGAAGGCTTTTTGTCTGGAGTTACTAGTGCGAATCCAGACGAAGGGCCTTCACTCGAAACATCGAAATTCTCCTCATATTTTTTAGGTTAGTGTTGCATCCCTACCAATGAAAGCCTGATATTAATATTATTGGCACTACCTACACTGGCACAGACAGTTCAAGATAAGATTATGCACTTCAACCCTCCTGCCTTTTATACCCAACCATTTTGCAAATTAATCTGAGTAGTAGCCCGAGTAGGCCCTTTAGAATCCAAGGGACATTAAATTAATTCGCGTACTTACGTACCGGAGGTACGCCAATATTACAGTCTGGTACTTCTTTGTTTTTAGCCACGTACCACGTAGGTACGCGGAACTCTTGCTATCTGCGTACTTATTTTTTTGCTGGTACCACATGACTTTTCCAAGTCCAAGGTATTCAATACCGTAATTTAGTTGGTATATCATGTGTCTGAGATGTCTTGGCATGAAACATGATTGCACTGATGGCACTAAGAAACGTTGGAGTCGGTTGTTTGAAATAGCAAAACTCCGTTTTTAAATAGCAAAACACCCTTTTCAAATAGCAAAACACCCATTTCAAATAGCAAAACTGCCAGTCTTCAAATAGCAAAACTCCCTTTTCAAATAGCAAAACTCCTTTTTCAAATAGCAAAACACCCTTTTCAAATAGCAAAACACCCTTTTCAAATAGCAAAACTCCCCTTTCAAATAGCAAAACTCCCTTTTCAAATAGCAAAACATCCTTTTCAAATAGCAAAACATCCTTTTCAAATAGCAAAACTCCCTTTTCAAATAGAAAAACTCCGTTTGCTATCTTGTAGTCCGAACATACTTTTCAGAAATCTGTACTTTATGAATCTTATTTTTAAAGACTAAGTACATGCACATTGAGCATTGAGTATTGAGTTTGTTCTAGCGCAAGAACGCGGCAACAACCATTGGCGTACCAGTCCGGTACGACTAGAAATCTTGAATGATCGCACCCTGATTAAATTAAACATTTTTTCCAAGGCTGCCCTTAAGATCACAATTGGATCTTTAATTCACTTCTGTTTTCAGGTCCTGTCTGTTTTAGTCAATTTGCTATATTCTGTGTTGGAAGCGGTGGATTTGGTGGCAAGACTCATTCAAATGAGTTGAAACCATTGGCAGCCACGCCAAGCAGAGCTCCTGATGTTGTGGAAGTTGAAAAAACAGGCAATAGTCAGGCAGCACTGTATCGACTTGCTGGAGACCTGAATCCGCTCCATATCGATCCAAGTTTTGCTGCCATGGGAGGTTTGTCAAACAGTTTTAATATTTTTACAACGCTGTAAAGCCCTGGGCAAACTAGGAAACATTGTTGCGGAAACATTGTTTCCTACCAATGTTTTGCCATGTTTCCCAGAGTGGGCAAACACTAGAAAACATTGGTGAGAAACATAGGGAAACATCAAATGTTTCTGAAGTTGGTAGGAAACATTTTTGCTTCCTGGGAAGCAAATTTTGTTTCCGCAACAATGTTTCCACGGGTGGGCAAACATTGAAACATTTGAGGAAACATCGAGAATCACAAATGTTTCCGCAACAATGTTTCCTAGTTTGCCCTGGGCTTAAGTCTGTTGAATTGAAGATGAGAGTTGACAACAGCTGCTGGCGAGTGTTCCAACTCTCGCTTGCATTTGCGAGCTGGCTCGTTTATCTTCTTGTTGTTTCATATAGGGAGTATCCTTGTTATGTTCTTATCATGTTTTGTATTATAAATGTTCACTCATTTCCACGACCCTCGTGGAAACCAGTTGATAGTTGTTGAGACTAGCGTGTTAAAAATAAGGTTTCTATGTACTGTATGATTGTGTGATGTGTCCGTAATAGTAGTGTGTCCACATTTTACTACAATCTACTGTAAGAGATGTTTGTGATGTTACTCTGAGTGTATATCCACACCGGGCAAGCTTGAAAAATATGCCTGGCTACGGTGGGAATCGAACCTACCGACTTTTGGAATACTAACCCCAATGCTCTGCCAACTGAGCTACGCGGTCAGGTCGGTTCGAGTATGTAATATTTCCGACCTGACCGCGTAGCTCAGTTGGCAGAGCATTGGGCTAGCATTTCAAAGGCCGTGGGTTCGATTCCCACCGTGGCCGGGCATATTTTTCAAGCTTGCCTGGTGTGGATATACACTCAGAGTAACATCACAAACATTATATTTACCTGAGTACATAACACCAACACAGAAAAGAAAAAGATCATGAATCTAAGAGATTCTACACCAAACTATAGGTTTCAAATCTCCAATCCTTCATGGCCTGTGCTCAGTGGGTATCGCTACACGAGCCGTACTGAAGCACTTCTGTGACAACGACGTCCGCAAATTCAAGGCAATCAAAGCACGATTCTCCAAACCAGTTATCCCGGGTCAGAGCATCCGTACGGAGATGTGGAAAGAAGGAAACCGGGTGTTGCTACAGTGTAAGGTCGTTGAAACAGGCGATGTTTTATTATCTAGAGCGTATATTGAACTGCATGGTAATGTGGTGTTACCAAACAAGGTAATTCAATGAGGTTATATACAGTATTAACCAAAGTTAATAGCTAGTGAACCTTATGTGGTTCTGAAGTTGGGTGCCGCTGTTGAGGTGTGCTTTGCATGCGCCACTTGCGCAACATACTGTATGGTCATTAGCTGTGTGGCAAGCAAATTGTGGAGGAGGGGCTAAACTAAAAAATGTGAACATCCTCCATCCCACCCTTTATTAAATAGGTATACGGATTGTTATCATTATTTTTTACCACCATTTGTAATGGTGTGATGGGTGCAAGCTGCCTGAGTGTGGTTGGCAGTTCAAGATACCACTTGCATGGATCTTTCCTTAATCGAAGTACCACCGCTTCCAAATTGATAAGTATGGTGTTCAAATATATTGTGGCTGTTTCTATACGGTGAATGTAGATATGTTGTAACGAATCGGTCATTGACTTGGACTCTAGTCAGCTCGAGTCGCTACTCTCCTATCCGAGTTCGCGTTATCAATTTTTCGTCTTCCCATGAATTTCCACTGCAGCGGAAATTCCATACAATTCCTCAATTCAAATTAAAAACGCCGTGACTCGCTCCCAGAATGTCCAAACATCATGGCATTTGCGGTATAGTCGTATACACTAATTTGAGCATGGCGATTTCAATCCTGAGGTCCATTTTTGGCAAAGCGGATCTGTAGATGGTGAGATGAAATATCATGAAAAATTGATGATGTCATCTCGGATCGGAGAATTGCTTATGTACTTCTGAACCATTTTATCTCAATAACTGTATGTGCATGTTTTTCACTTCCGCAGAGTCCCAAACCTAGTGCTGCTGCTCAACCCGCTACCACATCTGCACTCCAGAGCGACGCTTTATTCCAACTAATGTCAGATCAGCTTCCCAACTACCCCGACTTGCCGAAGAAGATCAAAGCTTCGTTCCTATGGCGGCTGACAAAAGGCGGGAAAGTCGTCTCGGAGTGGACCACCGACTTTACGAAAGAGCGGGGTTCGGTGACGCACGGAAAGCCTTCGGGAAAGCCGAGCTGTACCATTACGATTGCGGACGAAGATTTTATGAGGATAGCGATGGGGGAGACCAATCCTCAGAAGCTGTTCATGAGAGGTAAAGGGAAAATTGCTGGGAATATCATGTTGGCACAGAAATTGCAGACTTTGTTGAAGGAATTTGATTTGAAAAAGGTATGGCAATCTTCTCAATTTTACGTTTTGTTGACTTGTTATAATTACATAATGGTTCGTATCTTACGTTTGTTACCTTTACCTTGTCTTGCGCTGCCTTGCCTTACCCTATCATACCATACCATGTACCATACCATGTACCATACCATGTACCATACCATGTACCATACCATGTACCATACCATGTACCATACCATGTACCATACCATGTACCATACCATGTACCATACCATGTACCATACCATGTACCATACCATGTGCCATACCATGTACCATACCATTTCTTTATTTTCTTATACCATATTGTACTATACTATCACACCATGTCATACTAACCAAACCATGCCATACCATACCGTACCGTACCGTACCATACTACTGTATAGAATATCATATCATACCTTGTGAAACTCACTAATAATTCCTGAAGAGAACACAAAATAAATCATGAGCCAGAAAGATTTTGTAACTCTGACACAAAATCATGCTGATTTACATACTGTAAACTTTAAGTTTAATTTTCTCACCAAATATCATCCATTTATATAAATTGTTGAAGAGTACGATCGAATGTTCTCATCAAGACGTTTCACAAGCCGAGTATCGTCGTGTTGTATCGGATTTATAATCTGTTGTGAATACTGAATAGTACATGCCATACGATTCCATGCCACACTACAGTATACCATGCTACACTATATCATGCCATACAATACACCATAACATACACCGTACCATGTATTTAAACCATTTCTTACGTCCATGTCATTGGCTGGTAGGTCATTCTTGGCTAATTTGTTAACCTACTCTTACAGAAGATGGCTAAAGCTAATAAAAAACCCACAAATGCCCCAGCGAAAACCCCTCCTAGTGGAAACCCGAACCTCAAAGCCCACGCCATTTTCACAGAGCTGGGCACCCGCCTCGCTTCCATGCCCCACCTAACCAAAAAAATCAAAGCCACGTTCCTATGGAATATAACAAAAGATGGCAAAACCGCTGGCCAATGGTTTATCGACCTAAAGACTGGCACTGGATCCATCACCGCGGGCGCACCGGCGGGAAAACCAGATTGTACGATAACCGTAGCTGATGATGATTTTGTTAAAGTGGTCACGGGCAAAGCCAATGCTCAGCAGCTGTTCATGACGGGGAAACTCAAAGTTGGTGGAAATATTTTGCTGACCCAAAAACTTGGGGACTTATTGAAGTCGCAGGCTAAACTTTGAACAGAGACAAAAAGGCAGTTCACCGCATAATTATACAAAATTGAAAATTTTTCATCTGTGATTATATATTCGGAATAGCAGACCTGCAAATTAGGGTCGCGTCATCGGACATTGTACGGCCAAATTTTACCTTTTGTCCAATTAAAGCTTTTCATGACCCCAGACATGTGACTGACTGATTTAGCTGGTCAAATATCCTGAATCGTGCTACAATTTTAAAAAAATATGAAAATTTTTACTTTGTCCATTGTCCGAGAAAATCTGATATAAATGTCCATTCAATTTTTGTCTTGGCCGGACATTTGTCGTTCCTAGCCAAATAATTATTTGTAGGTCTGGAGTAGTCAGACTTTAATAGTATAATGTTTAAATATAATGTTCAAGACACAAATCGGCAGAATTATATAATGTTATAATGATTACTTGTTAAGGTTGAGCAATACTGAGTAGATCCAAAGTTAGACGATCATTCACAACTATTTTAAAACCATGATCAAGACGACAGGCGTTTAACAATGCCAGCGTGGAAAATCATGGAAAATACATAATTATTCTACTAATTGATATAGGTGTGTTAGATTTGATTTTTTGGAATTTTTTTCCCGATTGCTTGAATGTGAAATTTTTCACGAATTAAGGTCCATACAGACCGAACGCGATTCGACAACGCCACGCGAATTTTCGGTTTTTAAAAACAAATAAAACCGTCTGCAACGGATAAAAATTTTACAAGATATGTAGACCAAATAGCTAAAATTGCTTAAGTTCAGTGGTTCCGAATATTTGAAAAACATAGAAAAATATTGAAGTAAATTATTGAAAATTGAAAATTCGCGTCGCGTTGCCAAATTGCGTCCGGTCTGTATGGACCTTAAATTCCTTAATCCGTAAAAAATAAACTAAACAAAGCTATGACTTAGTAATTTTAGTTCTCGAAAATGGACCATTTGCATTATAGACTAAATTTTGATCTAGACAAAAATTTTATCACAGCTTGAAAGAGCGTCACAAAATTAGTAATATTCCAAAGTTTCGTTGCGAAATGTTGTAAAATGTGGATAATATAGCCCTGCGAAGTTTGCCGTTTTTCAGTCATTTTGTATTACGCACGGGAAATTGACAGCCCAATCGGGTGTTGGGGCATCAATTTCCCGTTTGTAATACAAAATGACTGAAAATTGCAAATTTCGCAAGGCTATATTATCCGCATTTTACAACATTTCGCAACGAAACTTTGGAAATATTACTAATTTTGTGATGCTCTTTCAAGCTGTGATGAAATTTTTGTCTAGACCAAAATTTAGTCTATAATGCAAATGTCCATTGATATAAGTAATAATGGATTAATGGCGGCGTTTTTCATCATAGTGTTCGTGCAAGGAAGCAAAAAACTTCTGTTTTGTCATATGCGTTGAAGATTCCCACAAACTGATACAAACACATTTTTTAATCAAGTTCTCCCTCGGCAATCTGATGTCCGTGTTGACCAAAACGTCGCTTGCATAAGCCATAAG